TAAACATCCGTTCTCGTTCAATCAACGTAGTTAAGAAACGTCGAGTCTGGTTAGTACTTAGATGGGTGACCACTTCGGAATATCAAGTGTTATAAGCTTGGCTGTGTGGGAGGCGTAATGGATAATGGCTAGAAGTTCTAATTCCAGTCGGGTTTGTTATATTTCCATACGTACTTACCCTTGGGAAAGGTATGAACCCATCACTTCTCCCCCAGCTAGTGGTTAATTAGTTAGACTTTCTATCAGTAATTCATTATTATCTCGAAAAATTTTTACAATATATATTTTCTTTAATATTTGTGAATTGTGATGATTTATCTTGAAAGGTCACGAAGTGCTTTCCCTTTGCCAATTTTGTATTAAAGATTGCCCTTATCTATACCTGCCCTATCAATGCTCGGGTAACCAGTCTACACTGCCACACAGTGGGTAGGAGGGGTGTAAAAGAAATAGATTTGCGCTTTATCATGCTGTATCGGGTATGTATAAGTTGCCCCCCCCCGTTAAAATAGTATGACCATATGTCAGACATAAACTAAATAAATGTTGGTTTACACTATCGAGAAAAAAAACGACCCTTCTCCTTTCTATAGGGATTGTACACCATGTTAAGATGACGAAAAGCATACTAAAGAATTCGTTTATTTCTCCGAAGAACTTTTGAAATTATAATGAAAAATAGTTTTCTTGAATATTCCCCTCAAGATGATTGACAGCGATCAAATCTGTCTTCGACTAAGTAACCGTGTAAATGTATTGCCCTGTCTTGATGTAAAATCACGCGCTAAATCAGTAAGACACTTGCTTCATTATATTAAGATTCTGAGAGTACTTTGGTCCGGAAGCGTTCATATAGAGGTCCAATAAAGAATGCAATTTATTGAAAACTCCGAGCTTTTGTTTTTGTTATTTCACAATAGAGAAAATCTTCAATCTTTTTTTTTTTATCGGGACGAGGTGGAACACATTTTACTAATTACATGGCCGTCTACAGGTTTTCATCTTCTTTTAATTAACGACAAAAACCATCTCTTCCCTCCTCAGCTCATTGACAAAAAGAACTTCATTCCATTTGGTGTACCTCACTTCCCTACAATGCACCAATCGCTCTAAAAAATAAAAAAATAAATAAAAAAATAAAGCGTAGAGGATGAAAAAGAAAACCTGTTTACAGTATTGATGTCGTCATTGCTTCATTACGAAGATGGTCTCACCAGTCTTTTGAGTTTTCCTTTTTCATCAGAAAAATACGAAATAAAGTAATAAAAATGGCCTGTTCTTTGCATTACACTAATGAAATGGACCTGTAAATGTTTGGCCTCATGATTTTCTTTTCATTGCACCAAGTAATTCATATATACTTACAGAATAGCTGTCTGCTTGAAGTCACTTGATAACCAACAAGAAAAATAGTGAAATTTTGTTTTAATAAAAGAGGCAGAAAACCACATTGTTTCAAAGATTCCAACATATTAAGTTGATGCAAGTTTCCAGCATTCTTATGATATCCTTTCTCATAAATTTATAGCGTCATTATACAATCAACGTTGTATTTTCAATGACTTTTATGATTTCTTACCACCTTTCAACTAAATTATGTATTCTATCATAAAGGAACGATTCCGATTTGGATTCAGTTCTTCCTTATCATGAATTTGCTAGAAGCGTTGACCAGACAAAATCAGTCCGATTAATCTTCAGGCAATTTTGGACAGAACACTTTATTTAATCAACGCACTAGATTGTTCTTGTTCCACTGACTACGTCTTGTTTTGATTTACGACTACCCAGTTATTGGTCTCCTTGTTTTTCCTAAGCTCAATTTATCTCCATAAATTAAATAAAGGATCCAGTTTAAAATTCTCTGAAATTTACCTGGATCCCCAAGCACCTGATGAAGGTCTTAGGGTACAATGGCCGAAACGTTGTGATAATAACAACAAAGATGTGGACATTTGACCGAATATAAACAATGTAAATATCTTTTATTTATATAAATACCTGGCGTCATGGTCCAGTCAATAAATTATTTCCTTTCTATGAATCTTACACCACGTTTAAGCTAATTTGTGTTTTCTTTTCTATTTGATTGACGCAAAGGATTGCAGTATCATTTCTGATAAAATATTTTATTCATAACAAAACTTATTCCTAGTATAAATTATTTACACGCTGACTCTTGTCCTCATTTTCACTGTTGTCATCCTAAATGCTCACCTAACTAGATAAAATATCTTTCGATATTAATTGATAAAATAAATTTAAGAATTCCGATTTTAATTCAATTAATTCTTCAATTGTATTTATTTTTCATTTTTAATCCTTTTATCCAAAGGTGATAACGTCAGTAGGACGCAAACAGTTATTTATGGGATTTAAAGTGAATGAGAAGACTTTAGTCTGTAGAAGTGACGAAAAAGGACAATAAAAAGAACATGTTGGAAAGACAGAAGATGATGGCTGCCATTGCATCTTAATTTGTGAAGATTGTAGGCGGCAGGAAGCAAGAAATCGGAAGGAGGTTCTACAGGTGAGAAGTGCGAGAAAAGAAACTGTTAGAATAGAACATACGGTTGCATCTTAGCTAGTTCAACAGTAAATCGATGAGACCTAACTGCCAATCAAGTAGCACGCTTACAGTTATGTAGTCGAGGTACTAAGGGTGGGGAGTAAGCGCATCAGAACAATTGTCATGAAAATATTTGTAGAAAAGACATAGGAAAGCCATGTCACGTCGACGAATAAGTGACTGATGTCGAGATGCCAGGATCGGTTACATTGCACATGCTTCTTTGGATTTTGTCAAGAATCTGGAGATATACAGCAGGAGTCTAGACAAGATATGGCAGCAATATTCAATGCACGGACCAATGGTAGGATTGCTGACTCGAAAAATTGTCTGGCACGACATAGTGAGCCAACTTTCCTAGCAGCAGACCTCACATCAGTGAAAAATTTTAGATCCAAAAAGCACAAGGAGTTTAGCATCAGCCATTATGATGATGGTTTGTTTTAAGCGTTAATCAGGCAAACATTTGGATCGATCCATATTATTGTTCTGGAGAAAATATTCACGTTTCGGGATAGCAAGTCTTGTTCTTACTTAGAATTGCTCAGTTATTGTTCGCTTTCCACTGAATCCAAATCCACACTCCCCAGTCCAAGAATTGAACAAATTAAAGACACAAGTTCAACTAATTCAAGAAATACTAACAATGCCACTTCAATTCTAACCTGTAACAATGTGAAAACAAACCCAAAATAAAACACCTTCCTGGGTATGACGATAAACCGCATCCGCGTCCAGGGTAAGGCGATAAACTACGGCCAACAGCAGGGCCTCTGATCAGGAGGTTTTGAGGAGCGTGGAACCACCTCTTAATTGCTGGTGTTCCCAGATCCGGCTTGACTCGCGGTAGTAGCACCCGTTAGGGTCCCAGCTATGGGCAAATAGTTAACCTGGAAACTGAGGTAAAAAGCATTATAAAATATTACCAGCAATACGTTTTTGAAGAAAAAAAAAAACTATTACTAGCAATACGATTTTGAAAAAATAATATTACCAGCTATACATTTTTGAGGAAAAAATATTAAAAGAAATAGATTTTTGACAAAACAAAAGTATTACCAGGAAAAAAAAGTTGTCAGCATTAAATGACCCAATGAGGTTGATATGCCGTAAAACAAACCAAACCAAAATAAAACAAAAAATGAAGAAATCTGAAAATATTGCATCCGGAATATGGTTAAATGAATTCTGGTGCAATATTATTAACAGGTGCGAAACAAGAACATGTTATTAATGCGGGAACAAAAAAAAAGGCGTTCCTGCAAGTCTGTAGTAAACGAGGGTGACAAACACTTTAGTGACTCACATAAACTCAAATAAAAGATACCCGTTTTGGGAAGCATATTAAAATGTGTGAGATCCACAGCCGTACTGTATTTAGCAACTTTTTCCCTTTTTTATTGTATTTTATATTCTTGCTCGTCTGCATCACAACTTGGTCAATAAACATTCTGACAGATTTCCACTCATTGTATGTCTTCTCTCTTTTATAGACACTGCTTATTTCACTGCCACATGTAAATGTAGAATGGACGTTTGGAAAATCTTTGATAAAGCGTATAGACTGTATCTTTCCGATTATTATAACTTTGCTGATGTGTCCAAGTGCTTATCGATTCAGGTCGTTGTGGTAAAAAAAAAATTTAAAAAAAACAAAAAAAACAGCGATAATAAGATGGAATATAACTGCTAATAATTTAATAGTAAAAATGACGTACATATTGCTCCAGAGTGGTGGGATAAAAAAGCAACAGTAATAAAACAGAGTAAAATTACCACAACTATTAATACTAATACTACTAATAAGTATTTTTTTGACTTTATATTCCTCATGATTTTCTGTTCTCTGGTAATTTTCAGTCATTAATTCCTCTTCTAATTGAGATATGAAAAACAACAGTAGAAACCCAAAATTGGTTTAACAAGTTTAACATTTGGTACAGGGAAATATAATGTAGAATAGAAATTAAGGAAGAGAATGTTTAGCCGTGAATGACTAATTGTTTTCACCAAAAGCTGATAATGCTCCTCCTGATACTCCTCTTAGGAGTATTTTTAAGATCTCACTTCCGACGGCCGAGTCCAAACTTGTAGAGAAATATTCTCCCTCACCACAATACCGATTCTCAATCTCTTACAATCTGACGGACCCACTGAAACCACCAATAATTATTATTCCGGTTCACACTCCTCCCTGCTCTTTTGAACACGAATAGATGTTTATCTTTGTTCGCCGTTTACGATTGGGTTTCCGGTTCCTTCTAAAGTCTTATCTTTCACTTCCAGTAAATTCTTGCGTCTTAGTGGCATTACCGCCTTGCTTTGGGGTGAAATTATTAAAAAATAGTAGTAGTAGTAGTTTTGTGGAATACAGCCAGCGGAAGTAGCGGAGAAAATGCGATATTTCTACAAGGTCGAGTTGCCTGCTTCTGGGCTAAACCACCCGTTTTACCCTCTGCTTAAAAACAAAGCCTTATTACGTAAAGAGCTAGCCAGCCTTAAGTAATCGTTAGCCATAAATGTA